GCAACAAACGTTGGCGAAATATTTTAGTGTATTTGACTTGGCGTCCGGTTTTCACCAAATCAGCCTAGAAACACAGGACGCAGCGAAGACGGCGTTCTCCACGCCATATGGTCATCATTACGAGTTCACGCGAATGCCATTTGGACTGAAAAATGTATCCGCAACGTTTCAGCGACTCATGGACTCTGTCTTGTGCGGACTCCAGGGTAACGAGCTATTCGTTAATCTCGATGATATAGTCATTTACGCAAAATCTTTACAAGAAGAAATTTGTTTATCTTGCAGATCGTCTATACCGCGCAAACTTAAAGCTCCAGCCATCCAAATGTGGCTTTTTACATAAGGAAGTCGCGTATCTAGGTCATATAATAGGTCGCGATGGAGTACGCTCTTGCACTGAAAAGATTGCCGCGGTTCGCGATTTTCCAGCTCCAAAGAACACCAAGAACGTTCGGGAATTCCTGGGACTCGCGGGTTATTATAGACGTTTCATACATAAATTCTCTGCAATAGCCAAACCACTGACGACTCTCCTCAAAAAGATCACGCATTCGTGTGAGGTACAGATCAACAACGTTCATTCGATGCATTAAAATCAACGCTATGTTCAGACTCAATTTTACAATATCCTGACTTCTCCCAAAAGTTTAACCCTTTTAGTGCCGGAGGCCGATATATCGGCTCTTGATGCACTGGCGAGAAGTGCCAGAGCCGATATATCGACCCGCGCCTTGTAGCGCTTTACTATTCGCATTGCAGGAGAACTCTATCTCAAAATAAATTTATAATACGTTATAAATGGTATAATTTCATTACGGGAGAATTAAAAAAAATAGTTTTTCGTTTTAACTCTTTGTGGACGACGACTTTTTCCTATCGTTTGGAGCTAACGAAATCTAACATAAACACCGATGGTCGCCGCTTAGGCGACATCTGACCTGCGGCGTGAATCGCCGTAGCGTTGGGCCTTTATCGGAACATGTCGACAGCGTTTTATATAAACAACTGTTTGAAGACTCTCACGAAATAAGATCGCATTGCCGCAGCGAGACGTAGGATCAGTTAGTTTTTCCTCGATCGTTGTCGTGAGCAATATATTTCGTTTTGTCCCAGTGACAATTTGAAAGCGTCATTTTTGTTATTGCCGTTGTTTTCTGCTTGTGTCAAACATTTTTGATTTTGACAAACCAACAATTAGCAAGACAGGATTTCTAAACTTTTTCCACCAACCTTTTTATAAAAAATACACCGTCATGGATGAAGCGGAATTAATCCGAATGGTTGACCAGATGGATCTACTACATAGTGACGATGAAGAAATCGTGGCACCAAGTAGTCGGCATCCACATAGAATATATAGTGATAGTGAAGCGAGTGATAGCGAACCAGATCTTGAGGGAAACGATATTGAGGAAACACTGAAAAATTTCCGTGAAGTTACCGTGGCCAATGACAACAAATATAATCCTCGCCCACAATTTATGGAAATTGCTGAACTTAAACATATGCCACTAAGAAATTCCACACCCAGAGAGTATTTCGATTTATTCGAGACCGACACTTTTCAGTTATTGGTGAACAAACCATAGACACATTCCATGATTTGGCTAAATGTTTAGCCGAAATAGGTTTCAATTAATTTGCAGGTTTTTCCATGTCGTAGACAATAACAAATTAGCAGCACGTGATAGCCCAGGATATGACCCTACAGCAAAATTTGAACCAGTTGTTACCCACACAAATAATAAATTCAAATATCACTATTCGCCTCATCAACATTTGTGTATTGACGAATCGTTAGTCGGCACGAAATGTAGAACGTCGTTGACAATATCTTCCAAATAAAAAGCATCACAAATGGGGCATAAAATTTTGGATGCTGACTGATGCATTTAATCATTATTGCTTATCATTTTTTTGCTATAGAGGAGCCATAGATTAAACAAATAAAGAAGAAATAAGAAAAAACGGTCTTAGCTACGTCGTAGTACATAAATTATTGAATATGGGCAATTATTTTATGAATGGGTATCACGTGGTAGTCGACAATTATTTTACAAGCATTTCATTAGCAAGATCATTGTTCAAGAAACAGACATACCTGACTGGCACAATCCGTAGTAATAGAAAATATATTCCACCGTTTATGAAGCAGAAATTGCAAGAGGGCACAACTAAGTACGCCCGAAACAACGAAATATTATTATTAGCATACCGGGAAAAAAATAACAAAAGAAGAATGTTTTACTCTTGTCCACATACGAAAAGGCTCAAAATAAAACAGCTACAATTAGAAAAAGGAATTAACAGACACAGGTCGAAAAACCAGCAATTGTGAGTGAATATAATAAACATATGGGAGGCGTAGACACATCAGACATGATGTTGTATTCGTATTTGGATGAAAGAAGAGCTGTCAAATATTGGAAAAAAGTAGTTTTCTCCATTTTCTCCCGAAAGGTGTTGAATGCCTACATATTGTATCAGCAAAATACAGACGGCGGAACCAAAACACGACTTGAATTTATAACCGATATTATTCAGTCGATAACCAGAGAATGGATGACAGTAAAGAGGATAGCAAACGACAGACCATTGGTTGAAACATCCACAAATGTGCCCCGCATAGGCGTACAAAAACTTCCAGGTAAACTGGAAAGAGTTTGCGTGGTGTGCAGCAGAAAGGATGGTGGGCCAAAACGAAAATCACGCACAATTTGCAATAAGTGCAATAAAGGATTGCGTGGTGTGTGCATTAGTAGCCACGAATGCTAAATAAATTATTTGGGTGAGTTATAATGACAAAATTTTACACATTTACAATATATATAAATATAAATATTTATGTTATTATAATGAAGTTGTGGCGGTCGACGCGGACAGCCACGAGTGTAGCGTGGACCGTGGAGAGAGTCGGTCGTCTGTCGATCGTCAGTTGTCTCCAGTGTGACGCAGACCTAGTCTAAACAACACCTACCGATAAGCACATTCCACCGGGCTACCTGAAACTATAACACAGGCTTATCTACCGATAGCCACATCCTGCCAGACCACACAAGACACGAACAAAGCATCAAGGGTCACGTAGGCCTCCCTCTCTCGAGGTGTATAAAAGACCATCAGAACCTTAATAAAGCGCTCAGTCAATTAGCAGACGTCACGGTTTGTAATTCTCCTTCCCAATACGTACAATAAATCTACGGATTATTTAATCGTATTCGGCTCTCCTTCTCAATAGATCATTCCACGGTCTGATTTTATTAGGGAAATAATATATTCGCAAAGTGAAATACCTCCTATTAAACGCGTATCGACTTATTTTTATTAAACGCGAAATCTCCCCCGTGACACCAGCGTGGATCCCAAAAAGTGTATAAAAGGACGGGTCCACTCTGGACGACAGTTAGTGTGTGTAAATCTATCAGCGCAGCATTACGTGCCCCACAAAGTATTATGCAAAATTATATCACAAATATATTTATGACAACATAATTTTGTTTCAGCAATGTGATATTATCTATAACAATTACGTATTTCGGAAGAGATAATCCGTCCGGCGCTTACCATGTACCTTCGAATTATTTTTTATTTTTATGATGTAATATTACTTATCTTGTTACAAAATATATTGGAAATGCAAAGTATATACTTTGTAATAAAATGGTCTATATAAAATTATGATGAAAAGATGACTTTTGTATGTGCAAATATGTTTTGTAAGAGAGAACTCAACTTTAGTTTTTCTATATTCATTGAAAATTATATAAATAACAAAGGTATAAAAGATCATAAAGAAAGTAAAATGTCATTGTTACGTTCTCTATTTCGTCCTTAATATACTGCTTTTTGAATCATGTAAATATTGTTTCTTGTTTAGTTTTTATGAGCATTTTCCCAAACCCTACTAAAACCGTGAAATTCGATTATTCTCGCATAGGCACCTCTTTTTCGCCTGGCACTAAAAGGGTTAAAGTTACCACGGATGCCTCTGGTTATGCCATCGGCGCCGTACTTAGTCAAGGTGAGATTAGGAAAGATCGCCCCATTGCGTACGCGTTTATAATTCTGCAAGATGCGGAATTGAATTATTCAACCATCAAAAAGGAGTGCCTTGCTATTATGTATTCAGTGCAACATTTTCGGCCCTATTTGTGTGGACATAAGTTCACATTGGTGACCGACCACTGGTGTGGATGAACTCAGTCAAAGATCCGACGTTGCGTTTGCTCCGTTGGCGGTTGAAGCTGGCAGAGTACGCGTACACGATAGTATACAAAGAAGGTAAAGCGAACTCGAACGCTGATGCCCTCTCTAGAAATCCTGTGCCCGTCCTTCCTCTCACCTCTGCATCTTCCAATTTCGACCTCTTTGATCATCCTCGGCGTCTTCCGCGCACCACAACTCCTACACCGATGGAGCCTACAAAATCCGGATCTTCATCTCGTCCAGAAACAAAATCTTACCAAACCACATCAACCGAGGACGAAAATATTTTCGACCCTCCCAATCCTCCCTTCGTCTCCTCCCATCGCACCTTGATCAAGGTTCGCGATTGTTTAACACGTTGAACGCGGCGCCGATATTTCTGACCTTTCCCCTCGGCCGGCAGAGAGCGGCCGCTCTCTAAGTATGCGATAATGTAATATTATCAGCGACTTCTCAGCATGCGATTTTACGCACTGCGTAGGGCATCTCACTTTTGAAGTCATATTCGAGATAAGGAAAGGTTTCGTTCCTTCTCTTTGAGTGAGACAATGGAACAAGCAATGCATGCGTACCTTCAAGAAGCTTTCAGTTGGCAGAAAGTCACAGAAGTCTATAGATCGTTTGAGAGTACAAAATTTAGTTTGTTTTTGAGAATATTTATCGACCATAAAACCGAAAATGTTGGAAAGAGAAGACAGTGATACATCAAGCGAAATTTCTTATCGTTCAGACGTCGCCGGGTATTACGGATATCATCATCAGAAGATGATATTTCAGTAGGTCAGGAAACGGAAATGGAGAGAAGAAGTAGGAGAAGTAACACAGGTGCTAATGAAATCTGTGACGGAAATGAATGGTTTGATCCAAAAGGGAATCAGCCAAATATTATGCCCTTTACGCGTACCTCCGCCGCCAAAACAACTGATGAGAAAGTGCGGATTTGTACAAAAGCAGAAGAGTTTTATGCACTTTTCGTTACAGATGAAATACTTCAACACATCAGTGAGCAAACAAACCTCTATGCTACTCAATGCAGAATCACTTCTAAATGTACAGGTAAATGGACACCAACTAACAAAAATGAGCTGAAGCGTTTATTTGGGCTGATAATATGGATGGGTATGGTAAAACTTCCCTCCTTACGTCTATATTGGTCTCAGGATCCATTATTTTCACAAACATTCCTGCGAACAGTAATAAGCAGAGACAGATTCGAAATTCTCATGAGAATGTTGCATTTCGCAGACAACGAAGCAGCTGTCGCAACTAACCGTTTATCAAAAATTCAATTCATCATAGACGAATTGAATACAAATTTTCAAAAATATTACGATCCACCAGAAGTATTATGCGTTGATGAGTCGCTAATCCCATTCCGCGGGCGCATTGTATTCAGGCAGTATTTGAAACAAAAAAAACACAAATACGGTATAAAAATATTTAAATTATATTGTGGTCATGGATATACGCATAACTGTCATGTGTACACCGGAAAAGCTATCGACAAGGAAAATATAACCACGTTAAATGTCGTAATGTCTCTATTGAAAAACTTATTTCATAGAGGCCACACGTTGTGTGCTGACAACTGGTACAACAGTATCGATTTGGCGAATCGCCTAATAGATAAAAACGCACATTTGATTGGAACACTTCGAGCACATCGTAAGAAAAACTCAAGTGAAGTGATAAAAACTAACTTGAAACGTGGAGAAGTTATCGCTAAAGAAAATAATCAGGGTATTACTGTGTTAAAATGGAAGGACAAGAGAGATGTTTTGGTCCTGTCCACAAAACATTCAAGTGTAATGATAAACGTAAACACAAAACGCGGAGTTTGCTGTAAACTCAAAATTATAGTTGAATATAATAAAGCAAAAACATCTATTGACTTGTCAGATCAAATGAGTGCGTATAGTAGTCCCTTGAGAAAAACTCTCAAATGGTATAAAAAGTTGGCCTTTGAGTTATGTTTCAACACTGCTGTGGTCAATTCCCTGTTCCTCTTTCAAGAAGTAACCGGACAAAAAATATCAGTTACGGAATTTCGGAGACAATTAGTGAATGGACTGACACAGCGAGTAGATGAACAAATTCCACTTCGGGATGGAAAAATTGTTCATAAATTACAGAAAAAGGAAAGAGACGTCCATAAAGTTCAGAAATACTGTTCTGGTTGTTATGATGAAAATTCAAGATTATTTGGGTCTAAGAAAGCCAAAAATTTAACAAGAAAAGTTGTTACATTTTGTTACATGTGTAAATCCCAGCCACACTTTTGCTTAGAATGCTTCAACAAAGCTCATTAAAAGTATATTTGACTACATTCATTTAGGTTACATTTATCTTTTAACTTTAATACTGTCGGTCCCACGAAAAGTTTAACGACGGTCCCCAGGGACCGGAGCCGGACACGGGGAAAGATCAGTGCCGGTTCCTAGGGACCGGCGTCGCGCTCAACGTGTTAATCATGCGAAATAGCGACCTCGCCGGATTCTCGACATCAGACTATCAACCACTAGACGACGGAATACTAGACCTCATTGTCTCAAACAAACTTAAAAATTTTTCAAATTCCATGATAGGCAGAGTCAAAGTGACGAAAATCGGGCAGCGTCACGTCATACGTATGATAGTAAAAGAATCTCCAATACGGCAGGCAAGACGAGAAGACGTGATCCAATGCCTCAGAGCACTGCTAGACGCGACCTCTGAGCTTGGAATCACCACTCTGAGCCTTTCGCGAACTAATATTGATGACATCTCATGGCAAGAAATAGAGTCACGTCTAATCGAATTATTCTCCGGTACAAACACAAAAATATTTATCTGCTCAAACGAAATCAGAATTCCTAGACCCGAGGATAGATAAGACACAATCGCGGAAAATCATACTTGGGTATTCGCAGGACACAACGGTATTACGAATACCTACAGATATATACGTGAATCCTATTACTGGTCGACATTAAAACAAGACGTACAGAATTTTGTTAACAATTGTAGTAACTGCCAACTTAAGAAATTAACTAGAGTCAAGACCCGACAGCCCATGACATTGACGGATACGCCTGGCCGAGCCATCGACAAGGTGTCGATGGATATCCTGGGCCCTCTTCTTCTCACGTTGTCCGGTCATTCCTATATCCTTATTATACAGTCTCTCCTTACAAAATACTCGTGTGTCGTGCCGCTTCGGACTACCGGAGCAATCGAGACGGCAGATGCTTTCATAAAACATTTTATTTGCAAGTTCGGCTCTCCTAAAGCTATTCTAACTGACCAGGGGGCTAACTTCATGAGTTCCCTGATGAAAAGCGTAGCGAAACGATTCCGAATAAAACAGTTTCGCACCACAGCGTTTCACCCACAAAGCAACGGAAGTATTGAACGATCTCACCACGTGTTAGCAGAATACCTCAAACATTTTACAGCCAAAAATAATTGGGACGAATGGCTTACGTACGCCATGTTTAGTTATAACACCAGCGTATATGAAGGGACGTTGTTTACCCCACATGAGCTCGTGTTCGGACTCCTTGCCCGTCTCCCAACAACAGACGCTACAATAACCGCCGCAACAGACGAATCATACCAAGAATACCTGAAATCCCTCCAAATAAAACTGACCGATAGTATATTTCAAGCCCGCGAGAACCTCGATGGAGCTAAGGCAAAATGTAAGAAGTATTATGACCGTAAGATCAACCCGATAATCTTTTCACCCGGTGACTCTGTGTACCTCTTAAAAGAACCTAGACTGGGAAAGTTTGACGATCAATACTCAGGCCCGTATACAATTATCGAAACCCTGGGAAATGGCAATGCAATAGTTCAGGTCGGGAAAAGTAAAAAGGAGGTACACACCAACAAGCTTAAGAAGGTAAAGGCAGTGCAAAGTAGCTCCACCTCGGTTCCCTCGACCGCTTCCTCTCGTCGCGCTATGTATATAAGCATACTCGCCGAATCGTACACCCAGTACAAATCTCAGTATTATCGCGACAATGTACCGCCAAACCTTAGCGCTCGTCACACTCGCATCTTCCGCGTTCGCTCTTATCGCGTATGACTGCGGGAGAACGACGCTCAACGTCACTACCATATCAACGCTGGACCAAGTGGACTGTGCCGCCGCCGACCCGCAGCCAGCCACGGAGCTTAGACCAATCCAGCTCATCCATCAAGCGGACATTAAATCAGCCCCTGCCAGACAGTACAAGTTAGAAATCGAAAGAACGGTGCATTATTGTGGAATACACTCACACATTTCATCAGTTCAAAACGGTCGACAGAAATACCTCCGACCTCTTACCAAGGACACCTGTAAAAACATCCTAACAACAGGCGCTCTCATCATTAATTCAGCTATATAAATCGACGGAATCACGCCAAACTCTACTACTACACGCAGTCTCGCCTTGGCGGGATCCATCGACCCCAATGGCGCTTGCTCTGGTACCACCTATAGTGATCCTTATGGTATTTGGAATAATGTCATCGTCTAAGCCATCGTGCAGATCACAGTAAGGAGTTTCCAAGCGCCCACCCAATCGAAGTCCAACAGGATTAACCTACCATCTGGCTATCAGTGTGTCACCAGCATCGGCGAATGTATTGACCCAGAAGACGGGAATACATTCTGGGACATAACTCCTCCAGACTACTGTAAATTCAATGAGTTTGATATTTTCTACGAAGGCAGCGTAACCAGAATATCCAACCCAAGGGACCGAACCACCGCCTACGCGGTCACACAGGGTAATACAGCATTTATCCTCACAGAATCCAAACGAACGAGTTTGTGTAAATTCACCCTCATCCACACCGAACATCCTAGACTATTCATCGTAGACACGGAAAAGGGAAAGTTTAAAACAGAAAAAAAAATAGAAACGCAAAATCTAGACCTATTCACTTACATTAATACTAAATTTATTTACATAGAAAAACATATTAAGACACAAATCATCAGGTTACATAACGAAGTCATGGCGCAGAAGTGCACACTTGAGAGACAATTAATTCAAACAGCAGTATCACAAATCCACACGGCCCCGGAAGACGTGGCCACCTTACTAGCCGGAGGCTCCGGTTACACCGCCATTCAAGCTGGCGAAGCCATCCACCTTATTAAGTGTATACCTATAATAGTATCCCTCAGAAAAACCGACTCCTGTTATGACGAACTTCCTATTACTTACGCAAACTCCTCTTATTTTCTAATTCCTAAAAACCATATCCTCACTTGTACCGGCACCCGCCGAGAGTGTCACAGCCTTATCCCATCCTTATACAAGCTCCGAGGCACATGGTACCGCCTTACTCCTCATCAAGTTGAAACTGCATCACCGGCCACCTTCGGCCGCCTCACCAAAGAAAATTGGAGATACATAGACCCCGGAAATTTCGCTACTGGCGGAATATATTCCCCAGAGGACCTGAACAAACTACGAGACCACACCATGTTTCCGGTGGAAAGAATCAGCATAGTCAACAATATCGCACAAGGCGCTTCTGGAAGAGCATTCATCTCAGACAACTTGCAAATCCACAACCTCCTAGATGAAGGAACACTGGACAAGATCGCAGCCTCCGCCAGCACCAAGGTCTGGAAAAGCTTCATGGAATTCGGCTCATTCAGCGCCGGAGTGCTAGCCATCTTTGTAATCTACAAATTTATCAAGTCTATAATCAACATGTTTCTAAATGGGATCTCACTACACTCAGCTTTTGGTTGGAGTCTTCCACTACTGGCTGCGGTTTGGACAGCCGCCACACACTTCTGTCTTCGCCGCCAACAACAGGACATCGTGGGACGAGATGTCAATGTGCGTGAGTGCGTGCCCCCGCAGTCCCTTTACGAGGAAATACACCCCTGCCCACCCCAACCTCAAGTGCGAGATCCACAGATATTTTACGCCGCCGTGCAAAAGGGACATTTAAAATTTCCACGTTCTTATATTAAGCCAACACCGCCATTCAGTGACGACGATTTCGCGATATGAATCGCCTCCCTGGGGGGGAGGTGTGACGTCGGCCGTCGCCCGACGTTTGCATTGCTAGTCACAGACCGCGCTCATGTATCCATTAGATGATAAAGTAGAACATAAGCCGCAAGTACAAAACTGTTATCATGCGAGATGTCACTCTGTCGGTGCAGCAGAGGCCTGACACACCAAAGAGTAGTAAGAAGTACACAACTCGGCCACAAGATGTCACTGCAAGGGAGTGCAAGCCTCCCCACTTCTGCGTCACCCAGGCATGTACGTCCTGGGTCTACACGGGACTAACGTGTCAGGCAGGGTCCGAAAGGCTAGGCGCGCGTTTGCGTGAAAAGAGTGCCGGAGAGAGAGAGGCTTAGAGGTAGGACAGACCTTTGTCCCCCTTTGGGAACTGACGCTTGGAGATTTTAGAAACGTTGACTGCGGGCACCTTGGAAGGCTGTGTGCTCGTCCTGTACGATTGGCGTCGATCGGTTTTGTGAGGGAGGGTTGAAGCAGGAACTCGAAGAATGAATCGACACTGATTTTAGATATAACAACTCTATATATTCTTAAGACTGTGTTACAAAGACTTGTGATACAAAGGTTTAGATTTAGACAACGCGCTCTTAGAATACTGTGGTCCAGCGTGTGAGCCTACTGGCGTGAGTACTGGCGTGAAGTTGAATAGGGATTTGTTCTGAGAAGACGAAGAAGAAGAAGATACTACTACAGCAATTTTATACGTCAAATCGGGAAAGCTCGGGAACGAGCAGGTCTGTTCTTTTATTTTTCCCGTCGGCCCGCCCGGACGCGACACAAGTACATGATAAATTGTCGATTTGGGCGTATACTTGATAAGTTGCAGTTGCTCAATAAGCTAAAGTAGTACTTGTTATTCGAATCTTTATGCAGTGATACTTGTTCTAACAAGTTGTTTATTTTATATCATTTACGCCCTAAATTCATGAAAGAAATGTCGAATAGAAGTGAGTTATTGGAAAAGCTAACAAACATAAGTGAAGAGTGCTCCGATATAGAATCCAATGCAACAAATTCTGAACTATCATCTGAAAATGAAGCGGTTTATATTCAAAGTGAAGCATCTGACACTGAAGTTAGCGATGAAGAGTCCATCACCAATGATGAAAATGAAAGTGTTATCAATATGCCCAGGAAAATGTGTAGGGTGCTAAGTAGTTCAGATTCTGATGAAGAAACTGAAAACACCTTTCAGGAGACCGAAACAGCTGCCGATGGTACTATGTGGTCAAAATTTGACGAAGATATTCCAGGAAGGTTACCATCTACTTGTATTTTCGAGGGTA